ACGGGCGTGACACTGAGGGTTGCGATCCGTTGCCGGACACGAAAAAAGACAAAAAGGAAAAAAAAAAAAAAGAGTCTACTGCACATTTCTCATTTTAGTTTGTTTTCTGAATCATTTCCACAGAGAAAACAGAAAAATGCTAACTTTGAACTCCATTCCCAACCAACAAGCTTATACCCTTGACATGGAACCCATAGTTCACATGGCCTTGGCACCAAGAATCTCCTGGTTTTCCTTCAAAATCAATGACCACCCCTTTCCATTCTCCCATGCAGGTTTCTCCTCAACTTCATGATTTTTGTGTGGTGGTACAAGGCTCACTGCTATACCTCTTTTCCTATTTTCTTAGTGAATTGCTATGTGATACCCTGCACTACTTTGGGACTATGTGAAGAGTCTCCACCAGAACAAAGGCCCTCACCAGATGCAACCCCATAAACTTGGAATGCTGAGCCTCCAAAACAGACTTGTAGGAAAAAGATTTTTTAAAAAAAATAAATTACCCGGGCCGGCCCGGTGGCGCACTGGATAGTGCGCCACTTGGGAGTGCGGTGGCGCTCCCGCCGAGGGTTCGGATCCCACATACAGACCGGTTCCCACTCACTGGCTGAGCGAGGTGTGGGCGCAACACCGAGGGTTGCGGTCCCGTTGCCGGTCCCGGTCCGGTGCGGGGGCGACACTGAGGGTTGCAATCCGTTGCCGGACACGGAAAAAGACCAAAAAAAAAAAAATTAAAAAAATAAAAATAAATAAATTACCCAGTTGCAGGTATTCTGTCAGAAACAACAGAAAACAAACAGATACAGCATGAAAAAAATGTACATGAGAAATGAAGACACAAGCACAAATGAAAATGTTAAGAAAGCAAATAAGAAAAGTAAATGTGAAAGAAGAAAAATGTAGGAATTAGATTTGGGGTACATACAAAACAGATTCAGCAAAATAAAATATTGGAATGTACATGGGACACCCCACCTGGGAAATTGTGTAATACAGGATTGCAGATGAGCCATCCTCAAGTCTGGGACATGTGGGGGAAATTGCTAGAAACAGCTGAACACTACCAACATCTAATGAGCTTTACTTTTCTTGGCTTCTGCACTGTATGTACCAACAAATCTTGCATGATCTGGTTTTGGCATTCTTCTATTGCCCATGGTTCTGCTCCTTCTAACTTCGCAATCACCTCAGCTTTGTTAATGCAGTGTTTTGTTAATGGGAAGTAATGTAGGACTTCGTAAAACTGCTAAGTCTGATCCTTGAAAGAATGGTAAGAACTCAGCTTTAGACACTGTGCAATAAAAAGGCCAATTTGAACCTTGTGAGAGCACATTATCAAGAAATGTAATCTTACCAAAACAGCATAAAACCATATAAATGGCACCTATATTTATGAACAAAAAAGAAACTTTCTTGAAAATTACTGGCAAGTTTTACTCACTCAGTGACACCAAGTTGCTGTAGGTCTCCAGCATCACATCCCTATACAAAGTCCTTTGAGCATCATTCAAGTCCTGCCACTCCTCCCAGGTGAAGTCCACAGCCACATCCTCAAATGATACCAACTCCTGTAATGATACATTGTTCTCAACTCAAGTCAACATTCCTGGGTCATGAAACAGAAATTTGGGAGTTTACCTCTGTGTGTGCATGTGTCATATTTGCCTTATATGAGATGCCAATTTTTTTGTACTCCATAGAATGGGAGAAAGAAAAATCAAAGGACAAATATCCTGGTACCGTATTAAGTTATTAATTACTAAAAATAATGTTACCAAACTGAGGTTATATCTTAAGAAATATCCTTGTTGCTATTGATAAAAGTGAATAAAATTCTTCTTTTCCAAGGAGAGTATAAACAGGCATGAAGATGTAAATATAAACACCTACATGAGATACTGTTAGGTGAAAAAAAATTGAACACAAGTTCAATATACACAGGCATAAGAAAGAAATAGAAAATATAGTTTTGTATTCAGTTTGAACTTCACTGAAATGCCAAAGATGTTAGACTCTTCCATGTGAACTGCATGGTCTCATGAATATGAGACAAGAGCAAGTCCAGTCACAAGAACACAAAGAACACACCCCACATTAATGGAACCACACACAGCACCATGTCTGTCACCTCTCCCAGGGTGACAGAGATGAAAAGGATTACTCAAAGCCTATTTCTCCAGAGCAATAAGAGGCCCAAAAGGGTTAATCCCAGGAGGAATTCCCTCAAGAGAGAAGGATTCCAGGAGTAACCCCCAAATCAGGTTTTCTGTTTTTATTGTCCAGGCAAGAAAGTTACAGAAAAGAACACAGGTGGTTAATCAGTCATAGTGTAAGCAATTTACTATCTAAAGAGTAAAAAAAAGCTAAGCTATGTGAAGTACAAAAAGAAACAATGAGATAATCATCATGGCAACACTTAGTTCCCTAAGAAACTTAAAGAAACAGCCAAAGGCAAGATGGGGAACATCCCTCAACCATTAACCTTGAAACTTTTAGCTCACATACTTTCCCATCATTAGGGTTAGCTGCACCAAGAACGACTGCCTTTAGAGCTATCACTTTTGCTGTGTTACAATTTTCTTATTTACAACAGACTTTAGTACTGAGAAAGTTTTGTTTTTTCAAAGCTTACACATTCCTACATGTAATTCTAAAAGGTTAGGCTATTCCTTAAACTACAGGGCTTTGGTCCTGGTAAAACTCAGGGCTGTGGCCCTACTAAGCTACTACTTATGCTAAGGGCTTTGGTCCTACTAAGCTAAAGATTAAGGCCCTGTGAAATACAGCTTTTTTAACGTTAGTATTCTCCACAAGTCTGAGAGAATGACCTTGGGCAGTATAAGAAAAAAACAATACTGAAGCAAGTGATTATAAAATGATTATTCACTTAAATATTGGACCTATTTCAAACAGTAAAACATTTTATGTAGTTATTGGTTTTTTTTTTTAACTACTTATGAATTTAAAGTACATAAAAAAGCATTCCAAAATGTCCTTCCTATGTGCCACAGGATTGCTTGTGTCCACAGCAGGGTGTAAATTGCAGCTTTCTAAGCCACAAGAAGCAAATAATTTGGTCCTTTAAGTACATAACTTTATTTGCATTTTAATAGTCACCCACTACAAGGAGAATGGAAAAGGCTTTTAGGGAGAGTCAGAGGGAGAAAGGAAACAGGGTGACAGAAGACCAACTACATTACAATATAGAGAAATAAGCACTCATAACAGAGACTTAACAATGTAAAAAAGAGACAGAATGAAAAAGCAGAAATACAACTAGGTAGTAATTTGCTTTGTCAAAATTAAAGAAGAGTTTTACTCTCAGGCTACCTACATAAGCACAGTTTGAGGAAAATATAGTTTAGTCAGGTCCCCATACCTCAGGTCCAGCTGGGTGTGGTGCAGCACATTCTTTGTAAACAAGTTGTGTGGGAATTGAGTTAGTGCACATGCATGCCCATGTATTTTTAGCTTGTTGCTATTCTTGTGTGCTCTTCAGAGTGTATGAAGCAGAGGCTCTGAACGGTTGGTCAGCAGAGCTCGTGTCCAGAAATCAAGCGTATTACTTCTTTATCCATGGCTCCAAGGACCTTTTCCTTCTGTTGTGCTCATAGACTCGTGTGTGAAGGGTTTGGGAATGGGCTCGAGGGATCTGTGAGATCTAGCCCTAGCTCTACAATTGGTGTAGTCTGGCAGGATTCTGAGCAGGTACAGGAGCCAAAAGCCATTGGGAGGAGAGGAAATGTGGCTACTACAGAATGTTGTGCCCTATGGCCACTTCCCTGTTGACCAGGATCTGGCTGCTGCTCTGCAAGTCATCATTGACCAGACAATACAGCAGAGAACCCTCTGGGAGGGGGAGGAAATGTGGCTATCCTTGAGCATGTGGTGCCCAGTGGCCACTTTTCTGCTGACCAGAGCCTGGCTACTGCTCACTATGCTACAAACTGATCAAGGTCTGAAGCAGAAAGGAGAGTTGTGGGAAGTGCGGATAAATGTCCTGGAAGATGATGTGCAGCAACTGGACACTCCTGCTTCTCACACCAGGGAGGATGACAAACCCAGTGGTGAGTTGGGGGAAGACTGTCTCCAGGCACGATGTGTCATGCATCAGGAAGTGAAACATGAGCAGCCTATGGGACCAGGCAAACAACTGGTGGGCAATCCACAGGTGACCCAATTCACTACCTATGTCCCATAAACCCAGGTTGAATTAGTTGACTTGAGACAGTTCCAGGAGAAACAGGGGGAGCCCCTGGCTGCTTGGGTGCTATGGTTATGGGACCTAGGGGTGGATAGTGTGGTTGTGCTCTGGTGAGGAGATGGAAAAATTGGCCTCCATTACCATACACTCATCCCTGAGGCAGCAGCTACAGAATAGATATAAATATGCACAAGGGCCAGGTAATCACTCAATGGAATGGGTGAATGCAGCTGCCTGAACCATGTGGGCAAATGCTGGAGAACTGCTCAAGATTGTTAGTAAATGGCAGACATATGCTGAGTTAGTACAAATAATTTGGGAGTTGGGGATGCAGCAGTCCACGTTTAATGTGAACACTCGTGGCCCAGATGATGAAAATTTTACAGGCAGCATGAGAGACACAGTGCTGCAAGTTGCCCCATCAACATCCTGTTGGTCACTGATGGCCATACTGGCCCCATACATTGGTCGCCCTATACAAGAGGTAACGATAGCCAGCTTGGGTCAAGTAGAGGATAGGAGATAAGCAAAGGGGGTCCAAAAGGTGGCTAAGACCAAACACCCAAGAAATGCTTGGGATTTTACCGCTAAGGGACCAAACAAGACTAACTGTAAGCAGATATGGCTTGATTTGCTTACAGCAGGGGTTGATACCAAGAAAACTGACTGGCAGCCAAATGCAGTTCTGTTTGCCTTGTGGCAGCAATTGCACCCTGAACAGTGTTTCGCTAAAAGTCCAGAAACGGGGAGCAGGGTATGCTCTGTGGATTTAAAGGATTTTTTTGGTTGCTCCCAAGGAGGCGGATGAAATGTTCCATTTTGATTAGGGAGCAGGCCAAGGTACTCATCTTTTGTGGGCAGGCAAGGACCAGAGGCCTCATGTTGAATTGGAAATATATTGGTTGAGAACAAATGTGCAGTGTGTTCTAGCAGTGGTGGATACAGGCACAGAATGTAGCCTGACATATAGCAATCCAGGTAAGTTTCTAAGGGCCACAGTTCATGTAGATGGCTATGGTGGACATTCTATTGAAGTTAAAGCTGTGTCACTGCCATAGGGCATAGGACGATTACCGTTTCATGTGTATACTGTATATATATATATATATATATCCCCAGTAACTGAATACATCTTGGGTATGGATGTACTTTATGGTATGCACCTGCAAACAACAGTTGGAGAGCTTCAGCTGTGAACATGGACAGTAAAGCCTGTTATGAGAATATGCCAAACATGACCCATAGGTGTTAACCAAGCCAAGATGTATAGTTAAGGTAAAGCAGTATCACCTCCTGGGAGAACATGCAGAGAAAGGTACGTCTATATTGGAGTTAGAGAAAGTTGGCATTATTCATCCAGCTCACAGCCCATTTAATGCTCCAGTATGGCCAGTGAAGAAACCTGATGGTACCTGGAGAATGACTGTAGACTACCAAAAACTAAACAAAGTAGTGCCTCCTTTGCATGCAGCCATGCCTTCAGTTCATGGCTTGATAGATCAGCTGACAAACTCAGCTGGGAATTAATTATTATGTATGGACCTTGTGAATGCTTTTTTCTCTATTCCAATCTCAGCTGATAGCCAAGATCAGTTTGCCTTCACCTGGGAAGGAAGGCAGTGGACCTTTCAAGTATTGCCCCAAGGTTATCTGCATAGCCTAACCTGTCATAGTTTCGTGGCTGGGGACCTAGACAAGTGGACTAGGCCCAGCACGGTTACAATGTTTCACTACATTGATGATGTGTTACGAACCTCTGATTCTCTTACAGATTTTACCTAGGCAGCTCCAATGCCCCTAAGTCACTTGGAATAATGTGGGTGGGCCATTAACACAACCAAAGTGCAAGGACCTGGGCTGTCAGTCAAATTGATGGAAGTGGTCTGGCTGGATAAGGCGAGAGTCATCCCAGAAGCTATTATAGATAAGATACAGGCATACCCTCGACCCACAACTGTAGTTCAGCCACAGACATATTTGGGACTTCCGAGGTATCAGAGAGTTTTGTACCCCATATGGTCCAAGTGGCACACTCACTGTATGCATTAACAAAGAAAGGAGCCCTCTGGGATTGGACTGAGGAAGTACAACAGGCCTACCAAGCTATAAAAAGGTCAATACACCAAGTGCAGGATTTACAAGTGGCTGATCCTACTAAGCCTTTTTAATTAGGTGTACATATAACCCAAGAAAGGTTAGGATGGGGTTGGTGGCAGAGAAGGGGTTTGTGGCATAGACAAGACCAATTCTGAACACCTGTAGGATTCTGGT